AAGATTTAATTTTTTAAAATCTAACACAGGCTTATAATTGTGACCTATTAGGGCTGCGATATATATTATGTAATATCATTTTATTAAAGAGCTACCCCTCCCCCTCACGTCATATATGATTATATATAAAAAATATATATATAATTATATATATATTATCATCTTCAGATACCCCCTCTAGGATATTACATAATATCTGTCACTGCTCTTAGATTCTTCTTTTTTCTTTTCTTTCTATATTTCGTCTTTGTTTTTGTTTTTTAGTATTAGTTTTTATTTATTTCTTTTCACTTTAATATTAGTATTAGTGTTAGTATTTTTTTCTTTTTATTTCTCTATGAGAAGATGTTATCAGATTGGTAATATTCTATTGTAGGGTAGTGATCTGATAGTGTCTACTGAGATAATAGAGTTTCTAATATAAAATTTATCAAGATATATTTATATGAATATGTCTGCTCAGTGCGGCCAGTTACTTGTAAGTGCTCTTACATAGTTATTGTATTAAAGTAACTACAAGATATCAGATCCAAATATTAGTAACTATCATTCACTTTATCTAGTATCTAAGATCATTAATAAAGAAACCCTGACAAGATAGCCAAAGTGAAAAAATAATAATTTAAATAAAATATAAATGACTTTTTGATTTTAATAGCAAATATATTTATAGTTTTGATAATAAGTTATTAGTAATTTTAATAATAGATAAGTTTGTGATTTCAATAGTGAGTTTGTTCAAGATTTTAAATATAAGTAAATAATTTTCAATAGGAGATATATTTACAGTATAAAGTTTAGTATAAAATATAATACTTATATTTATTATTCATTAGATTATAAATTTTTAATTCATCATATAGACAAAATTCAAGGTTTACTAAAATTTGCAATAGTATAAACATATGAAAAGTTATGTATTATGAACTTTCTATATAAACATAAATAGCTAATATAGAATTTAACTAACTTATTAGATTTTTTTTAGTATAAATAAGCATGTATAAATTATTATAAGATTATAATATATAAACCTAACTAATTTGAGCTAATTTAAATTCTAACCTTAATCTAATTCTAATAATTTATAAAATTACTTAAATTAGTTTAAAATAGTTAATTTATATATATTATAATTGTATAATAATCATATATGCCTACCTATACTAAAAATTAACCAACTTATTTAGTAATACTATATAATTTTTTATAACTCAGCATGAGTTTTAATAGTACTATCTTAGTTTAGTTTTATTTGGTTTTATTTGTTGTTTAAATAAATTGAATCTAAAAATCAAAGTATAATTTTTTTTTTGTTTTTTATATTCTTTAAATCTGTATTTGTTCTTTAATATCACAAAAAAAAGAATTAATTTAATATAATGTATAATACTTGCCAATGATCAAAAAATTCAAACTTTTAATAAATTAGAGCCCAAAAAGAAATATAAATCTACTAAGATAGTTACATCTAAGTTTTTAAGCTAAGTATATCTTAGATTAGGATTACTATTAAATAAAAATTCTTTGTAATTTCTAAAATAATTAAGAAATCTCAAATAAACAAAGGCAAAACAACACCACATCCGGTATTATTCAAAACCATACCACCTACTCCTTCACTTTTACAAGAAAAAATATACAAATTTATCAAATATGGACAATCTTCTCTTCATTATATTATCAAAGACTAGAGGTTTACGACCATTCTAGCAAAGAATAGGTCGAGAGTAAAGTAGCTCTTACTTCCATCTCCCGTAGCATAGTTTTTTTCTCATGTATCTAATATATGTATAATCAACTATTAATAAAAAAGATAGAGGATAGACCTCTCTTTAAAAAAAAAAAAAAAAAAAAAACAAAGGCAAAACAACTAAATTATATAAAAAAATTATTATTAATTAGGGTTAAAGTTTGAGCTAGAAAAGACTTATATATATAAAAAATTAAATATTAAAAATTTTTAATTAGAAATCCAAGACTAGTTTACTTAATAAAATTTTGAGATATTTAAAAGTTTGGCTTTTTTTTTAATTTTTCATTCAGTTTTGTTACACAAGATCCTGTGATCTAATTGGTCAATCATATTAACCTGTGATATAGCAAATTGCAATATTTAACAATATTCTTTTAGTCTGAAAAGCATTTTTTTTTTTTAATTTTTAAGGTAAAGGAGGAATTCGCACATATTACTGCAAAGACTTTGTTTATTATATCAATCGAGAAAATTCTTCACGATTAGAAAATAACTCGCAGATGCCCATTAACACGGTATTAACAAATGATCAATTCATAATATTTAATAAAATGGCCAATTTATAGTGTTTAATACTGGTCAACTCATATTTTTTGAAACATTATAAATTTTAAACAAGTTAAAAACATCAATATAGATAGGCTTCGATTGCAAAACGATGCACGTTTACAAATCTATGAGTTATTAATTAACATTAATTGAAAAATAATGCGTACCGTAATATCTCGAAATAACGGGCATGGGACATTCAATTATATGATAAATCTAATGATGGCGTTTATACTATATTTGATCCGCTGGTTCGTGAACCTATGTCAGCATTGAAATTTAGAAAATATTTTTCAATAAATATAAATAAAAGTTATCACTCACAGCATTAGCGACTTCCAACCAATCCAAAGAACTTAACAATCGGTTGTTTGAAGGTGAAGGAACAGTATTATGCTCCCATACCATGAAAGAATGAAACTTGTGAAAAGTTTCCCAAGTTCGCTTTTCATCAATTTCCATGTTTGTTGTTAATGGACCTGATTTATTGGACGTATATGATTCTTTAAATATGCAACCTAACAAAATTTAATAATATACATTTAGGCAAAATACGAATTTGTCTTCAATACGCGTTTTTTATAATAATTCAAATACCTTCATATTCATCTTCTAGCATGACATGTCTACCTATAAGACGACGGCCACGGAAAAATGCTTCGTAAAGGGTTTCTATTTGAAAAGTCGGTTTAAACAAGTTAATATATATAACATTAATAGCAAAAATCAGGTTTAAGTTTCGCGCTTACCGGTTGGTCCAGAACTCGACTTATCCATATCTATTAAAGCATACATATCTTGGTTTTTTTTATCTAACTCATTTACCAGGAAATAATTTTCGATATTGGCTTTTCCCTTATAGTTAATGCTGCAAGGCAATTGGTGAACTTGTACTTCTAGGTGATTTGGGTTTGTTTCTTGACTTGAAGGAACCTCATTCGAAGAAGGTCGATCCAGAAAGCTAGATATATTTATTTCCATGACGAATAAACAAGAATGTATGACGCGAAAATACCCAGTAGCATACATGTAACGTAACTACAGATGCGGATCATATAAAAATTTTTTAATAGTTTTAAGGGTAGACAGTATATAGATCATTTTTCATATGATCAACACGTGATTTTAAAATTTTACTATAAAATTGAAAGTTGTTACTAATAAAACTTTTTCAAATTACAATAAATTTTTATCAAATTTTTATAAAAT